AATCGAGTATTTTAGTTTAATGGATTAATTATGATGTGGTATACGTCTTATTCTGACGACGGGGATTTTAGATATTAAATAGTGTAATAAGAAATTACAATGAAATAACAAATATGTGATATTAGATCATATAATATACAAGCTAATCAGTTGTGATAAAGAATTTTATAAGCAATAATTATACTTTGGTGAGAAGCCGACATGATAAATTGCAGTAGTAGCCATAATAGTAGTGAGAGCAATAGCAGTAGCAATAGTACTATCAATAGCAGTAGTGGTAGCACGAGCAATAGCAGTAGTGGTAGCACGCGCAATAGCAGTAGTGGTAGCATGATTAATAGCAGTAGTGGTAGCACGATTAATAGCAGTAGTGGTAGCATGAGCAATAGCAGTAGTGGTAGCACGAGCAATAGCAGTAGTGGTAGCACGCGCAATAGCAGTAGTGGTAGCACGATTAATAGCAGTAGTGGTAGCACGATTAATAGCAGTAGTGGTAGCACGCGCAATAGCAGTAGTGGTAGCACGATTAATAGCAGTAGTGGTAGCACGATCAATAGCAGTAGTGGTAGCACGATTAATAGCAGTAGTGGTAGCACGAGCAATAGCAGTAGTGGTAGCACGAGCAATAGCAGTAGTGGTAGCACGAGCAATAGCAGTAGTGGTAGCACGATTAATAGCAGTAGTGGTAGCACGAGCAATAGCAGTAGTGGTAGCACGATTAATAGCAGTAGTGGTAGCACGCGCAATAGCAGTAGTGGTAGCACGAGCAATAGCAGTAGTGGTAGCACGATTAATAGCAGTAGTGGTAGCATGATTAATAGCAGTAGTGGTAGCACGATTAATAGCAGTAGTGGTAGCATGAGCAATAGCAGTAGTGGTAGCACGCGCAATAGCAGTAGTGGTAGCACGATTAATAGCAGTAGTGGTAGCACGATTAATAGCAGTAGTGGTAGCACGATTAATAGCAGTAGTGGTAGCACGATTAATAGCAGTAGTGGTAGCACGATTAATAGCAGTAGTGGTAGCACGATTAATAGCAGTAGTGGTAGCATGAGCAATAGCAGTAGTGGTAGCACGATTAATAGCAGTAGTGGTAGCACGATTAATAGCAGTAGTGGTAGCAGCGATTAATAGCAGTAGTGGTAGCACGAGTAATAGCAGTATGGTAGCACGATTAATCGCAGTAGTGGTAGCACGAGCAATAGGCAGTAGTGGTAGCATGATTAATAGCAGTAGTGTAGCATGAGCAATAGCAGTATGGTAGCACGAGCAATAGCGTAGTGGTAGCATGAGCAATAGCATAGTGGTAGCACGATTAATACAGTAGTGGTAGCACGATTAATACAGTAGTGGTAGCACGAATTAATAGCAGTAGTGGTAAGCACGATTAATAGCATTAGTGGTAGCACGAGCATAGCAGTAGTGGTAGCCGATTAATAGCAGTAGTGGTAGCACATTAATAGCAGTAGTGGTAGCAGAGCAATAGCAGTAGTGGTACACGAGCAATAGCAGTAGTGGTATCACGATTAATAGCAGTAGTGGTAGCCGAGCAATAGCAGTAGTGGTAGCACGCGCAATAGCAGTAGTGGTAGCATGATTAATAGCAGTAGTGTTAGCACGATTAATAGCAGTTAGTGGTAGCACGAGCATAGCAATAGCAGTAGTGGTAGCACGAGCAATAGCAGTAGTGGTAGCACGAGCAATAGCAGTAGTGTAGCACGATAATAGCAGTAGTGGTAGCACGAGCAATAGCAGTAGTGTAGCACGATAATAGCAGTAGTTGGTAGCACGAGCAATAGCAGTAGTGTAGCACGAGCAATAGCAGTAGTGGTAGCACGAGCAATAGCAGTAGTGCGTAGCACGATTAATAGAGTAGTGGTAGCACGAGCATAGCAGTAGTGGTAGCACGAGCAATAGCAGTAGTGGTAGCACGAGCAATAGCAGTAGTGGTAGCACGCGCAATAGCAGTAGTGTAGCACGATTAATAGCAGTAGTGGTAGCACGAGCAATAGCAGTAGTGGTAGACGCGCAATAGCAGTAGTGGTAGCGAGAATAGAATAGCAGTAGTGGTAGCACGAGCAATAGCAGTAGTGGTAGCACGAGCAATAGCAGTAGTGGTAGCACGAGCAATAGCAGTAGTGGTAGCACGAGTAATAGCAGTAGTGGTAGCACGCGCAATAGCAGTAGTGGTAGCACGAGCAATAGCAGTAGTGGTAGCACGATTAATAGCAGTAGTGGTAGCATGATTAATAGCAGTAGTGGTAGCACGATAATAGCAGTAGTGGTAGCATGAGCAATAGCAGTAGTGGTAGCACGCGCAATAGCAGTAGTGGTAGCACGATTAATAGCAGTAGTGGTAGCACGATTAATAACAGTAGTGGTAGCACGATTAATAGCAGTAGTGGTAGCACGATTAATAGCAGTAGTGGTAGCACGATTAATAGCAGTAGTGGTAGCACGATTAATAGCAGTAGTGGTAGCATGAGCAATAGCAGTAGTGGTAGCACGATTAATAGCAGTAGTGGTAGCACGATTAATAGCAGTAGTGGTAGCACGATTAATAGCAGTAGTGGTAGCACGAGCAATAGCAGTAGTGGTAGCACGAGCAATAGCAGTAGTGGTAGCACGATTAATAGCAGTAGTGGTAGCATGAGCAATAGCAGTAGTGGTAGCACGATTAATAGCAGTAGTGGTAGCATGAGCAATAGCAGTAGTGGTAGCACGAGCAATAGCAGTAGTGGTAGCACGATTAATAGCAGTAGTGGTAGCATGAGCAATAGCAGTAGTGGTAGCATGAGCAATAGCAGTAGTGGTAGCACGATTAATAGCAGTAGTGGTAGCACGAGCAATAGCAGTAGTGGTAGCACGATTAATAGCAGTATTGGTAGCACGAGCAATAGCAGTAGTGGTAGCACGAGCAATAGCAGTAGTGGTAGCACGATTAATAGCAGTAGTGGTAGCACGAGCAATAGCAGTAGTGGTAGCACGAGCAATAGCAGTAGTGGTAGCACGATTAATAGCAGTAGTGGTAGCATGAGCAATAGCAGTAGTGGTAGCACGATTAATAGCAGTAGTGGTAGCATGAGCAATAGCAGTAGTGGTAGCACGCGCAATAGCAGTAGTGGTAGCACGATTAATAGCAGTAGTGGTAGCATGAGCAATAGCAGTAGTGGTAGCACGAGCAATAGCAGTAGTGGTAGCACGAGCAATAGCAGTAGTGGTAGCACGAGCAATAGCAGTAGTGGTAGCACGAGCAATAGCAGTAGTGGTAGCACGATTAATAGCAGTAGTGGTAGCACGAGCAATAGCAGTAGTGGTAGCACGCGCAATAGCAGTAGTGGTAGCATGATTAATAGCAGTAGTGGTAGCACGAGCAATAGCAGTAGTGGTAGCACGATTAATAGCAGTAGTGGTAGCACGAGCAATAGCAGTAGTGGTAGCACGATTAATAGCAGTAGTGGTAGCACGATTAATAGCAGTAGTGGTAGCACGATTAATAGCAGTAGTGGTAGCACGAGCAATAGCAGTAGTGGTAGCACGAGCAATAGCAGTAGTGGTAGCACGAGCAATAGCAGTAGTGGTAGCACGAGCAATAGCAGTAGTGGTAGCACGCGCAATAGCAGTAGTGGTAGCATGAGCAATAGCAGTAGTGGTAGCACGAGCAATAGCAGTAGTGGTATCATGAGCAATTGTAGTAATGGTAGCATGAGTGGAAGGCGCAGAAACGTGCTGTAGAAATAAGGGTAGTAACGAGGTAAAGCAAACGGGAATAAGGGTAAAATAACGAAAAGAGAAAAATGCAAAGTAAAGATAAAATACCAAAAGATCTGTAAAAATAGAGTAAAAAGATCAGTAAAAGTACAGGTAAGAGTATAGTAAATGTTCAGTAAAATGGAACCATAAACAAAAAGCAAACACTCAAGCAAACAAGTTACGTTACTTTATACATACGAGTATATGCCCTTTTAAAAGACTAAGAATGATAAAATGAAACGTAAAAAAAAGAACTTGTATTTAAGGTGAGCATCACTGGATTTAACTTATGTAATTTTAGCTTCATTTATGTTATGTATTATTTCAACTTCCTTCATGTATGCTTAACTAAGACGCCCAGCCTTTTCGAAACCTAGGCAAGTAAACAAGAGCTAGTACAACATTTGGTGTAGTTTTAAAGAGAGGGGATGTGACACAAACAAAGTTCCTGTTGACACTGTTTATTTACTCCGTTCCCGGGAACTCCAGGAACTCGTGACGTCACAGTACACTGAACCATTTTTCTCTAAGACCCATTTATTTCTAAAACATTCATTAATAAAACAAGACGATGAAATAAGCGTTTAGTGCAAAGTAAAACCATAAATTAAAGGATTTACTCAAAGCGGTGATTCTACAAATTTGCAGTGTCACGTCGCGAACTGAGAAATCGTAAAAAAAAAGAAAATCATAATAAAAAAACGAACAAAACTACAAATTAAATGCATGAACTAAAAGTAGGAATATTCATAATACTAAATAAACAGAATTTTAAAATCAGTGTGAGTGTAGGGGTGGTTTTCCATGTGTGAATTTTGGCAAATGGCGCTGGTTTGTTCAGAGGTAGGCCTGCTTTTATGGATGTTCAAGAATTTTATGCTTGAACCAACGTGTTGTTGATCCAATATACCTTATATTACCACTAGGATAATTAAGCATACATACAATAGTTGCACATAAGTTCTCAGAAAAAAAGAAAAAAAAGAAAAAAAGGAAAAAAATATATAGTTATTTGTGAAAACTATATTGAATTTTACCTGGGGGAACGAGTATTTGAGTTACTGACGTAACTGTTTTCGAACGCAATAACTTAATCGTCCGAGATACGGTAATTTGATGTATTTGGTTTGCTTAGGGATAGACGTAAGCTTTAAAGGATGTCAAAACTTATTGTTTAAGAATAATCTCAGGGTTTTCTGGAAAATACTACTTGGGTAACCATTTGTCTCAAAGCAATTTGATAAGAA